ACATTCTACTTTGTGATAAATTGTTGTCCAGAAAGAGCAAGTAGAGGAAAAGTCTAACAGCTTGGTTTTAATTGTGGTCTGTTATAAGACAATACCAAGCAGCAGTGTGCCATCAAGTGGGCGCTGTGTGAACATCACCATGTTTTTCTCTCTCCAGCGTGGTGTCTAAGAAATGAAGGAGTGAGCTCAGTTCTTCTGGGAACATCCAACCCTGAACAGCTCACTGAGAACCTCGGAGCCATACAGGTGGGAACACGCAGAAACACCCACAGACACACACACGCACAAACACACAGGTCTACTGCCTGCTCAGTTTCCTCAGCTGCATCCAGCACTGTCCTCTGGCCCTATTGATTTTTAGGTGAAAAAGCTATTTCTGAATCACTTTAAAGATCCCCTCCAGACATGTATTAAGACACATACACAAATAGTTTACTTGGAACAACACTCTGTCTGATAGTTTTCTTCTATATTAAAATCTTTAAAAATGCATCCAGTCCTCTTTAAAAATCAGACTCTATGAATATGCACATTCTGTTCCTTTCTAAAGTTTTCCTGTTGGACACAAGATGTCGCTTACTTTACTGTAAAGTCCATTCTCAGTGTGTGCGCACTGGTGGCTTCAAGTTTCTACATCACACTTGTAAAAGTTGCATACCGGACCAGGATTGACTTCCAGATGATTAGTGATTTTCAGTGAGCACAAAGAAACTTTCCTCTTTTTTGATTTTTGAGTGGAGGGGGACTTTAAAAATCCAAGTTGCTTTCATTTGTCATATGTCTCACTTCCTTCCTGCCGGCCATGTTCAGTTTTGCTCTTTCTCTTTCGCCCAGGTCCTTCCTAAGATGACGTCTCATGTAGTGTCTGAAATCGACCACATCCTGGGCAACAGACCGTACAGCAAGAAGGACTACCGCTCCTAGAACAGGCTGGTTGGACTACCGAGAGGTCAGCCCTACCTGCTTGCCTATCAACTTAACCATACTGCTACCATGGATCCACCGTTCAATGTTAAAGTCCATGGTTCTCTCCTTGGGCCCCACTCAACTCCAGCCCACTTCAGCCTGGAATAGACAGCCTCACCAAGCCCAGCACTGCATACTGTAACTTCATCTGTTGGAGACGAGTCCCGCTCAGATCAGCTCTACCAGGTTCATCTCAGGTTCAGTCCGGCTCAGCCAAGAGGTGCTTACCAAACTCAGCTTTTTGCAGCCTCAAACGCAACTTAGTCCATCTGAGTAAATTAAAAGTTTGTGCCCCCCAAACAAGGTGTTAACCCGTTGAGCACCGGTCCATTCAGATATAACTATGCAGAGCTTAGTCTTGCCCATGTTACAGCTCAGATCTGGTTCAAGTCCATCCAGGGCTCTCATTAAGAAATTCATTATTTATTAAATTCAACTTCTATTAGATGGCAAGACATGCTAGAACAGCTCGTAGTAGTTAGTGATACACACTCACACAATGTTACACATTTATAGTCAGGATTTGAGCAGTACATGATGAAAAGCACTGCAGGAGTATTTGAAGTAAAAGTGCCTTGCTCAAGGGTACCTTGATAGTAGTAGTTTGTTATTCGCCTGACCGACTCAACATCCTCCCAGCTCGGCCGGTGACTCAGACCCTCGACTCTCAAGTCTTCGTCTCTAATGTCCAGACTTCCACCCACAAGTAATTTAATTTGAGCACAAAATTCAGATTGAGCACATATTTTATTCATGGGAATTACAGCTGAATACATCAGAGCAAGCACCTTAGACTTATAAATTAGAGGGACGTTAGGAAAGGGGACATGAAGAAGCTTCAGTTGCATGAACGTCCCCAGTCAGTTTGTGCTTTCATTAAATTGCTATGCAGTGCAGCAAACAAAATTACCATACGAGCTCAATACTCTCACCTCTTGTGTCAGAGGTGCACGCTCAAGTCGTGGGATAAAATGTCTTGGTTATTTTCCCATGAAATGTGAGGTTGAGCTATGAAAAAGAGCTTTATGAATGAGGCCTCAACAAGCCAGTTCCCTGTTAGCTTGAATTAGCTTTCAACTACCTACCAAATGTACTCAGTCCCATATTTACTATAGTACAGAATAGTATTCAGTAGATATTATAGGCTGCAGACCCTGAGTGTATTAACCGACAGATGCATGTTTCCCCTCGCTATAGTGTGCCTCTCTTTTCTTTCCTACAAAGCACATAACTGAACAACAGAAAGGAGTTTGAGCAGGAATGCTGCGAGCTTGTCTACTGTCCGTGACCGCCTGTGAAGCAGAGGAACACCTGTGTCAGTGGGATTAGGACTCTGTTAAGGGAGAGAGTAAAGCATGTCGCCCCCGTGTGGTATTTTTATGGAACTGCTGCTCTGCTTCACTAGATTATAGAAGAGAGAAAAATACTGCTTTGCAAAAAAAAAAGAAAGTGGACTACTTCTCTCTCAGTTTGCATTCAATATGGAGAGGTTTGACTCCTTTTTTGCCTGTGAACTGAACCTGCATTGCTGATTGCCTCGATGAACCTTGCAGAAAAGGACTCAAAGCATATAATAAATAGAAGTATGTAAAAGGATGACTGACCTCCTGGCTGGTCATGGTTATAATAACTGCAAAAATTGCTTGTTAATGGCACAAAGAGGCAAGGTATTTGGGATGTGGCAAAGATTACTGTATTTATTTTAGAGTAGTTAATAAATATGAAATTTATTTTGACATTTTGAGATTTTGTTTGGAGAATAATTGGGGATTATGTACATAACATGTTAATGCATACCTTGTAACATAAGCAAAACCACAAAGCAGCCTCTCTTGCATATGAGGACTTCACTGTACTGTATGGCTAATATATAAATAAGATGTAAATAGAGTTATTTTGTTGCTCCTCTGCAGTATCACTGCGTCAGTTGCAGTGTTTTGAGTCACTCTTCATCCTCCTCCTGTCTGACTTTACACTGTCACAGTATCCATTTCTGTCTCCTGAAGAATATTTTAATAGAACTATTTAGAAGGAGTACAGGTCAATTTTGTTTATTGTTTTTGCATTGTGACGTCAGATTTCAAAATCTGTATCAATAATGGCATTATTAAAAGAATGGGCCTCTGTAAGTCACGAGCTTCTGTTCAGACTTGAGCACTGACCTTGAGTCGCTGTCTCTGACCGGGTGGCTCAGCTCTCGCAGTTGGCGGTTGTCGCCCTTCATGCGTCGTTGTTCTTCTTATTCTTTTTCATCTGGAAAACAAGCCATCACAGAGATCAGCAGAAATGTTGGCCAGGTCCCAGCTGAGTCACTGCCCTGTCTTCGGTGTACATTTGTTGACTTGTAGCACAAACGCCCTCCAGATTTTAATCAAAGGAAGTTTTCAGTCTGTGTAGGCGTTTGCCAGAAATGCTGTTACACATATTGGGATGGAGCATCAATAAGCAGCGTTTGGCTCGCGGTGTATTTTAAGATGTCTGGCTGTGGAAAATTAATAGACTTCCTTGTGACTTTTTGCATTAACTTAGTGTTAAATGCAATGGAAGGTGACCTGACCTCCACTTAGTCATAATTTCAATGCAAACAACCACCCATTTACTAACAAGAAAACCTCCATAAAAGCAAATTTTCTCATAAAAAAGACATTTGATCACAATGTGGGTAATATGTGACCTATTCCATACTAGAATAGTAATTGGTAATCAGTTAAATGAGTATAGTTTCCTTTATTTAAATCTACTGTACTTTTAGTCTGTGTGCAAATCAACAAGTTAGTTAGTTTGAGTCAGTGACCATGTTGGACCACGGCCTGCTGGTGTGTGTGGAGACTTCTCCTCCCGACAGAGTGCCTTGATTTGTGACTTATCCCGCTACAGGAAAAAACTTCAGGGATGTCTTTCATTACGAGTTGTTAAATGGTGTTTGGATACTGTCCTACAAACTAAAGGAGAATAGAACAATATGTATGCAGATTCTCGTATTATTAGATTGTGTATTCTTCAGTATAATATCTATTACTTTAAAAAAAAAAAAGCAGCAGGAAGACCCCTCACAACACAGATTGTGTAGAGGTAACTTTTGGGAAATTGAGTCTAATGAAGTATATAATCCCTGGAATCATGTCCAACCTTACAGCTTGTGTATGGCAACAGCTTTGTTCCATCTTGGCCTTAATTTAGGCTGTTTTTCTCAACATTAATTTTAAGTCACTCTGTGATAAGTTAAACTAATCACAGAGAGGTAACTGATTTCTTTAATACTGTTTCTGATGCAGCGCCACATAGTATCTTATCTTTCAACCAGCCGTTTGCTTCATGAAGCATCAGTTTGTCTTCAGAAAGGGGCAGTGTCTCACCAGCTCCACTCGCTCTCAAACAAACCCTCTACTGCCATCTGTAGAGGGGTGCAACCAGTACAATATTAATATGGGCAATAGTGAAATGGCAATAGTGATAATTTAGGCCAAAATCTGCTGGTGTTTTGAGAGAATAGTGGCTGCTGGCATTATCTTCACATGCTGGGAAATACGTCTGAAGGACCAAATGGAACAAAGCTAGAAACACACATTTTTATCCTGATATCCCTGATGATATACAGATAACGTGGAAAAAAAAGTCCTGCAATATGACAATGTTTAACATAATGTTTCCTGTTCTCGTATGAAGCCAACCTACATCAGTTCTGATTAGTGTAACCTAGTCTACAGATCAGTGTTGTTTTCTACAACATGTACATTTGTGGATGGAAAAGACTTTTTTTGTTAAGGTGACATGCAAACCATCAGTGTATTATTTCTCTGCTGAACAGTGGTTTCTCTGTAAATAGTCTATATGAAAGTGTGATTATAAATAAATGCAATGCCAATGGAAACATCAGTCTGTCTACTTGTTTACTTACATCTAATAGTTTGTAATGTAACTTAAACAGGTTCATTCATATCTTATTCTTTAAGGGCTCTGACGCAGACTGAATGGCGCACACACACGCACGCACGCACACACACGCACACACACACACACACACACACGACAAGTATACCTGGTTGCTTTATTTGTTACAAAAAACAGAAGACAGACCTGGAGAAACACCCTCCAGACATTTGATCATGAATTTCATGAAGTTGAAATGTGATAATTCAGCCCCCCTCTTAAACCCCATTCCTAACTTAAGTGAAAAACAATATAGTGAACACCCGACTCCCTACCCAATCCCACCCCTTCATCCCTTCAGCTTTTTGTCCCCCGCTCTTTTCTTCTTCCTTTACTTGGAGCCCGTGGACAGCAGAGCGATGAGTCCTGAGGAGGCACTGATGGACAGAATGTAGTTGCTGGAAAAAATGCTGTTAAGGCAGAAACAAACTCAGATTTTGAAGGTATTTGTGAGGAAATGTGCTCATAAAAGTCATTTTAAGACAGAAGCCACAAAAACAGTGAGTGCTGATAACACATGTACAGTATGATGTAAAGGATACACGGTGGGGTTGAAGTTCTTGAGCAAGAAGAAAGAGGCGATGATGACGAGGACCAGGAAGAGGGTGTTGTTGTAGAAGATGGAGAAAGTGGTGGCCTCGTAGTCGGCGACCTCGTTCTTCTTCCACAGGATCCTAGACAAGCAGAAAGAAAAACACACACAAGCACGATGTCAGTCAAGTTCATGGTCGTGAAAATAGAGTAGTTCGAAGGCACTGCAGATATCTCTTCACTTAAACTGAATTACACTTTTATTCTGGAACAGGAAGTTCAAATGTAGAGAGCCTCTTTAATTTGACCCATTTCAAGTCTGCTATATGATTTTAATCTGGCCCTTCTTCACAAAATGAGGATTATAGTGGCCGTTGTGGTTTTATAATGTCAACTCTAAGTTGACACGATGCTGATGTCCTGAACTATATTCCATGTTTACTTTTTTGGGCTTAAATATGAAACTGCTTCAAACTGTCCCAGTTAAACAGAAGGACAGCAGACAGTGTGTTTTTTCCTCATCGCTGTTTACTGCACTTGTGTCGTCGGGTGGGCACTGTCTCCCTCCTGTGTGAACATTTTGAAGAGGTGATCCCAGTGGGAGCTGAACAGCTAACTCAGGCTACACCACCTGAATTAAGTAGGTAGTAGTATACTGCAAAGCAATGACTTGACCATCAGCCTTCATTGGTTTTATGTGTGACTGCGGCTCATGTTTCACCTCTCGTCTTTCTCCTTGCGGGACATCTTGCGGTTGTCCGCCTCAGACAACTTCCTGGTTACCTCCTTGGAAACAGCATCCTCACGTTTCTGGGCAACTCTGGAGGATGAAGAGAGACAGATCGGTCATCCATACCGTGTTCACACTATACAACTTTCTGTCATGTGATCGGGAATCTTGAAGTTAGTGTGGTCATTAATAACACCTTTAACAACAAGCACATCATGTTTAATCCAAGTCCACCAAGAGAAACGGACGGATAGGACGAAGCATAACTAGTGATTGATGCAAAGAAACAAACAAACACTGGTTGTATACAGTACTTTACCATACTAGAATGCTGTATTGTGTGTTAATCGAGTTGTTCAAATGAATCCGTATCAGCAGTGTGACAGTAATAGAAGTACACACAGAGAAACTCTGAACATTCAGATGGGATAATGAGGAGTGTTTCTCCTTCTTACTTGTGTTTGAGAACAAACTTGACGTTCTTGTAGGCAAAGGCGACCAGGTAGGTGCTGACCAGAGTCATCACGGCGTACAACACTGCAGACTGGACAAGGTCCATGTGCCAGATCCTCCAAAACAACCCTAGAAAGATAAAGTCGATCACTATTGGCCAAATGATCCAATCAGCAGACAGACAGTGTGCTGGTTAGACACAGATAAACCAGGTAACCAGTAACTCAACTCTATACAGAGTAAAGTTGTTTTTATTTAGCTTTTCAACAATATAGAAGACTACTAGTGAACTATACAGTTTATTACCATTATTTAAACCGGTACTTAAACCCACAGTAACTTTATAGCAGAGTTAGCACTGACAGTCACTTCTATGGATGATATAACATTATATATACACATATCATTTACTGTTATTACGCTCTTGTGTCTTTGAAAGTGTCTGTAGTATTAAAGTTAATTCAGGGTACTTTCATTCAGTCTGTCTGTCTGTCTGTCTGTCTGTGTCCTACATTTGTCCTGCAGTGAATGAGTGTTAGCTCAGCTAGCTGGCAGCAGCTCCAGCGGTACTCACAGATGGGGATGGCAGAAACGATGAGTGCATTTCCGTAGAAGAGAGCGGTGGACTTGGCCGAAAGGTTTCTGCTGAAGTCCTGGAGGAGAAGGTCTTCCTCTGACTGCTGCTTGTTGCTGCCTTTAGGAGCCATGTCTGCGGATTGAACCGGCCTGTGTGCTGCTCAGCTCGGGACACAAGGAGACTGACACGTCGGTGGACGAGGGGAAGAGGGACGCGTCAGCATAAAGCCGGAAATACGACGGCGTCTTCTTCTGTGGTCAGACAACTCCTCTGCTCACTGCTGCCCTCCGCAGGAAGACAAAGGCACTGCACCTGCAACACTGCAGGGTCAGACGGTTCTACAACAATAAACCCGTATTTGACCACTTTCCTTATGGTTTATTTGACTAGTTATTAAACTCTGAGATTTGTAACAATGATCCTAATACAATGGAGTTGAATTGACTTTTATTTGTGGCCCTCAGTGAAAACATTGTGTGTAACGTTTAAGAGGAAACATTATATTTATTAAACATTAATAGTGAAACCAGTCCTCAGAAAATAGTTACGACATCTCTCTTAGTCCCACAAAGTTGAAAATGTAGTTAGTTCAGCTCGATTTACCTGATTCAGTTCCTTAAGTTATGGAAACTCTCAGAGCTTTCAACCAACACAAACTGAAGACAGAAATAATACATAATCTTCAAATGTTCATAGCATGTTCTATAGATATTAAAACCTAAGCAGAGAAAAAATCAAAATGAGTCACAAGATATGACTAATTTATGTAATTTGGGTGAACTGGCCCTTTAAATTCTGTTTTTCTACATCACTTTGGGTTAACTGTCATATATGTCATGTTTCCATATTTTACTGTGTCAAAGTGCTATATTGTAACTCAGAATAGGATGAAATAAAAAAAGGAATAAACAGAAAGAAGAGTTTGAAAACAGGGTATAGGGGTGAGGAGAAATCAAGAGGAAATACAGATGCTTCCTAACTCTTCTAAACAAACAAACATACAGTATGAACAACAACAACAACAACACCAACAACAACAAAAACTCATATCAGCTGGAATTCTAACTATAAAATGAAACATCAGTTCAGGTTATTAAACTGCTTATTATAATCTGCCCATATCACTTCCATAGAAAGATGCACACATCAAATGGGCTGTTTCTTCTCTTTTCTGTAGAGTTCTTACTTCTCCATGATTCACGCTCACTGCCCCACCACATCCCATCTCATTACAGTCACATCAGCACATTTATTGAACCTGACCTAGTCTTTTTTATTTCGATCAAATGAATACTTTATTTTAGGGTATATATACGCTAAAATAAATATAAATATAAATATTCCTGCCTTCCTCTTTAAATACAATTTCTCGTCCACTGCTTTTTACTTCTCTTACTTCTCTCAATGAAGCACTTTTACCGTTTAATGACATAGATAAAAACAAAATCTTAGTGATGGTTTAAAGAACAAGCTCTAAAACTGCTCTACCACAGCTCCTGTACAGTGCAAGTACTTGCAGGACTCACATTTTGCCCACTAGAGGTCAACATCTACGTGTGTGTACATGTCAGTTTATAGGTGCTGAGCTGACGCACATTTCCTGAGGGACCGGCAGTGAGTGCAACAGTAGATCTGCAGGTCTTAAATCACAAGGATTACAAACAATCAAGGAGAGTAAGGCCATGGCCTCATAGTGCTTACAGTCCTTATAGTGCCAGAGACAAAGTATTTATTTAGGATTTTTAAAGAGCAGTTACATTGTGCAGAGAGGTGGATCTCATTCAGCAGCGAGAGATTTGAGTTACATCTTTGAGAATGTGAGCTTTTTAAGCCCTGCAGAAAAAGTTTGGACTGACGTTTTAGACACTAACGGAACAATATCTCCCTCAAAAGTAAAACAAGAAATGTTACCTCAGTCTTCACAAACAGGTAAGTAAGTGTGACTTCTCTCTGCCCTACAGGCCCACACCTCGGCCTGCTGCAGAACTCCTGCTTTCAAGTGCAGCACTCTAAGACTCCTCCTCTATGCACACACATCCTCATCTGACAAACATGCCACAGTCCATAGTGTGCGTGAGAGTGTGACCACGCAGCTACAGATGCATAACCCATTAGCAGAGCGCGAGCAAATGCAAAAGTCCCTTCTTTTCCTTATCTCATCCTCCAAGCCTGTCACATGCCTGCCGCTGGAGACTTTTTGAGGCCAGGGAAAAACCAGACAGATATTGGTCCTGCTGCTGCTGCTGCTGCTGCCACTGCAGTGCTTAGCCCCCCGCTGAGCTGCTCTCCTTCTTTCTCTGTGTTTGCAGGGGCAAACAGCATGTGCGTGTGACTGAGTGCACGGGTTTGTCTGTGAGAATGCAATGCAGACAGGCAGGTTTGCGTGATGTCCCTGTCTTTAAATGGAGATAGAGCTTAGGGATTAACCGTGCACTTCAGGGGTGCAGGAAGGAGTCTAAAGAGGAGGAGAGGGAGGAGGTGACGCCAAAAGGCCTGCCAACACAATGCCGGGCAAGGCTGGTGATCTCTCTCTCTCTCTCTCTCTGTCTCTGTCCTCTGTGTAAGTGCGTATGTTTGTGCCAGATTACTTTGGCTTTGGTGATACCACAGACATAACCACAGGGGCAACCACACACACAGTGGCACACAGTGGACCCCTCCAGGGCAGTTCACATGGCAGTGGGTATGTTTTAGCTCACTATGATCATACCCTAAGGAGTATTTATGACACATCACCTCTCATAGTGACAAATTCTTTTTGAGTTATCTTCTCTCACTTGCCCAAAGCTAAGCTCAACATCTCTTACATCTGCATGCCACAACATATTGTGTGTGTGTGTGTGTGTGTGTGTGTGTGTGTGTGTGTGTGTGTGTGTGTGGTGCGTGTGTGCGTGTGTTAATGATACTGTGTAAAAATAGTGCTATTGTGCCATCAGCTTTCCAAGGCTACTAGATCAACATGAATCTCTTAGCACGTACTATTTATGTTGCCTGCAGTTTCACAAACTCACATAAAGACAAGCACAGGAAGACAAAAATCATGCGAGAAGATGAACAAGAATCTCATGAGGCGAGTGTGACATTCATTTAAATGAGCCCAGGCTAACTGGATTTGAAAAGGTATCTAAAACAAAAGTGGTAACACAACTGAGTAATTTTTCCACAGAGTTGGATATTATGGAAGTCCCCAGCTGCTGCAAAAATTATTTACAAATTGTATAAAGTATGACTGAGCGGGCGTGTGGTCGCACAACATCCTCTAGCTTCTCATTGGTTAAAAGAGGAACAACATTTATTAATCTTATATCACTGACATGTGGTATGAGTTCTTAAGTTGGAGGGTTCAGAGAGGGAGTTTATAGATTTTTTTCCTTTTCCTCAAAACCTTTGGTTTTTCTATTTCCTTTCCAAGTTTATTCCAGAGAAAGGGAGTGATCCACAACACCGCTTTGTTCTGCTGACTGCAGCTGAATGTCATAATATACAAAATTACTTCTCCAGTCCCTTTTTCAAACACTGCTTATCTCATAAAGTATATTATTTTTAGTCAAACTAAATTAAATCAAATGTGTTTGTAGCCATTATATAGCACTTTAAACACAGCAGATTTTAATGAGCTTTGCAGTGTTAGCAATGAACAGAAATAAGATCATATGAAGCTGAAAACAAACTTCACTTTCCAAGCAAAGTACAATCATGCTCTGTTAAGTAAAACTAAACTTCAGGGAAAAATCACCTCATACAGCCTTGCTCAGTGGATTCACATGCAGGGACGAAGTAAATCAGGGCAGATTTTTCAAGTTCATTTGGCGCACTTTGACATGCAAACTGGACCCATAGGCCGCCTCGAACAGAGAGCAGAGGAGTACAAAATGGATGAAGCTATTAGTGTTGCACCATTCATTTTTACTTAACCTCTATGTCGGTGCTCCATAACAGAGGCACGGTTTGCAGACAGTTATTAGACAGGAGTTGATTCATGGTACAGATATAAATAAACTGTGTGAATTTACTCACAGAATAACTCTTTATTGAATGAAATGTGCAGTCCTGAGAACAAAATGCCAGGGAGGAGTAAACAACACAGAGCAGAGAAAATGGAAATAAGCCCAGAGAGCTTGTGTGACTGACTCACTTATCCAAACTTCCTCCCTGAACACATGTAGACATTTTCAAGATCTCAGTTTTCTCACAGGGGAAAAAAAAGAATAACTCAAATTAATTTAGGTCTCGCTTAAAAAAACTGCAAAGCTCCTGGGCTCTTAGCCAACTATTTAAGTCGTTTTAGTCAGAGATTATCATGATTGTGCAACAGTAGTTTTGGCTGATGTTATTCCTTTTAGATTAAAGAGTTCCACTGGCAAAAATACATTTTTACACCCTGCTGCAGTTCTCCGGCATCTCTGAAGCAACAGCAGACTGTGAGGGGTTTACACAGTCGATAAGTCAGTCATAAGTCTGATGTGTCTGTTTGTATAAGTCAGTGTGGTCTGCTTGTTTGTTTTGATCTTCCCTGACATGAAGATTTGCCATCTTAATATTCCCCCCTTTCTTCATTGAACTAAGCTTTTAGCTTCATTGTGTTTTCGTCCTCACAAATGAATTGTATATCAGGACTGTTTGACCGTAGTATTTACTTTTTGTTTGCCTAGTCTCAAAGGGTCTCAGGTTTTTAGTAGTGCTGTAGGGACCGAGCATACCAAGCCAAATTTGGTGGCCACAGAAGTGTGACCATGTGACACCCACTGGCCCAAAATGACTTAAGATAAATGATCAGATATGGTTGTCTTCCAAGATGGCGTTGATGTTGCTCTGTTATGTTGTGCAAACTATAATAAGACATGAGCTCCCCTGAAAACATGATTTGTGATATTTTGGGGAGCATCTTCATCATCATGGATCGTGCGTAAAATTAGGCTATTATTGATGTATGATTCATGCAGGAGGGTGATTCATCACTAATTCATCACGATTCTTGCTACCCCCATTGAAGTATCCTAAACTTCACTCACAGATAAGAAAAAAAACCTTTTAAGTTCACTCATGCAGTCTACGCACCGAATTTCCACTAGTCCCTAAAAATAAGTCAGTTCCCCCAAAAGCCCTGGTATAGGTCTGCATGGAAGAATGAATAAATAGACCAGACGGAGGAAATACGTAAGAGGACAGAACATCGCTTGCTTTCCCTTTTTCTCCCTTTGCCTCAGATTGTGATATGATGATATC